CCCAAGAGCTGGAGTTTGCTGTGACCTGTGACACCACAGCACTCATACCGAGGGTGACAAAGTGAGACTCTGTCTCTAAAAAAAATTAAAAATGAATTTTAAAAAATCCCCCCCCTTTTTTTTAACTCCCAAAACCAGAGTTGCTGGCGTGGATGTGGAGAAAAGGGAACACTTCTACACTGCTGGTGGAAATGCAAACTAATATGTTCCTTTGGAAAGACGTCTAGAGAACACTTAGAGAACTAAAAATATCCCTTTTAAAGTGATTTAACATCGTCTCCCCTCACAACCACGCTTGACTAGCAGAAACAAAAAAACAAAATACCCCCAAAACCAAAAATATGTATCCCTGGATCTCAATATCTTAGCTCCCACATAAAAACATCTTTGGCAAGTTAAGCTTTGATAACATGCTGTTTCTGCTATAGAACTAAACTGAAAATTACTGTTTAATGACTTTTGTGTAAGAGGACTTAACAAATTGATTTCAGAGTTTATGCTACATGAAAGTTTGTGTTCCCACTGTTCTACATCCTTATCAATACTTGGTATTACGGTGTTTCTGTGAAAATAAGACCTACCCCCAAAATAAGCCCTAGCAGGATTTCTATGCATTTGTTAAATATAAGCCCTACCCGGATAATAAGACCTACTGATGGGCATGGCTATGTAGCGTATCTGCATACCCACGCCATGCATTTCAGCGTGGAGCAGTAAGACTAGAATACCTTATCTGCCACAGCTCCTTTGTCCCAGCCGTTCGCTGTTGCGCTGTGCGCACATGTGGTCTCAGGCATCCTATTGCACACATGTGAACGGCTATGGGAAAGGAGTTCACGCATCACTAGCACCAGCCCCACCAACAAGGTCAGCTCCCCTTGTCAGGTTCCAGAAGACGATTGACTTAACTGTATTTGAATAAATGTAGATTGTTGTATTATACTTAATAAAAAAAAAGACATCCCCAGAAAATAAGCCCTAGTATGTCTTCTTCAGAAAAAATAAATATAAGACAGTGTCTTATTTTCAGGTAAACACAGTATCAGTCTTTTTTTTTTTTTTTTTTTTTTTGGTAGAGACAGAGTCTCACTTTATCGTCCCGAGGGCCGTGGCATCACACAGCTCACAGCAACCTCCA